TTTTTAGTTTTTACTTTGTTTCTTGTCTGTCTTTCTTAAGCCATTTATACCATGTCGTTTTGAGTAGATCTAAGCTGTTTGAACCGTATTCCATACCTAAACGCTTGATCTATCCCTTCGGGACTTACTAGGAGTTGATTTGAAGAAAACTCATTCTAGGTATGGAGAGCTTACTCTAGTTGGCTTGATTTAATAAGCTAATATCAAAATGTGTAAACATATAAAGATGTCTTTCGAACTAAAGATAGGTTGATGTATGAGCAAAACCTTAGGGTAGAGGCCAGGGTAAATATGGTTGAGTTGTTTGATTATTGTTGATGAGTGGGATGAACCTGATGTGTTTGTGATGGAGTTTTCTGCTGTTTTATTTATGGTATAATATTTATAAGGTTGAAGAAACTGTCAAACAGTAATTGTATATTATGTTGAGACCGATTGACGAATGTTAGGAATAATATGTTTTATTGTTGATTATGTGTTGGTGTTAAAATAGTATGGAAAAGTGGTAGGTAGATATACTGAGTGGTAGGTCAATGTGTCGAGTGGTAGGCCATGTGCTAAGTGGTAGGCAAATGTGTCGAGTGGTAGGTTCTTTCTAGATTCACTAGTATTGTGATATCAAATGGAGCTGAGTTATTGTTGTTGTGATTATTGTAATGGTTTATTGATGCTAAGACTGATATTGCTGATACTGTTGTTATTATTAATGTTATTGTTATCATTGTTGAAATTGTTGGTACTATAAAATTTAATAGAAAGAAGTTGTATTGCTGAGTGAGTGTTGAGGAATTGCTGAATAATGAACTACATAAATAATTAGATTCATTTATTTCTCTATAATTATGTTTGTTATTATGTAAGCTCACCCTTACTATTTTGTATGTGTGGTGTATGTGTGTGCGTGTTTGACAATGATTGTACTATGGTACGTGAGCAAATGTGACAAGTTCTGTAGCTACTTCTCATGCTGGAAGGTCTGGCTGAGAAAAAATGAAGTCAAAAGTTTTGTGAAGATTGTAATTTTATTTTGTTAGTTTAAGTCTATTTAGAGGGTCTAGACTATTTAGTTACAGTCTTCAATAGTGTAAATGTTATTATTATTTCAAGAACTTATATTTTGAGCTCTTAGTAGAGCAACCCTTGTATATGTACAAATATATTTATGTAATTTTTGAATTATATGAAAATGCTTTTAGAGCATTTTTTTCTTGTTGATTGAGATATAGAAATTAAAATTTTAAAAGTTTATATTCCTATTCTTGTGTATATTATTATATAAGTAAATAATTGAAAAAGAAATAGTAATGCACAATGTCATAAACCTTTTATAAAAATAAGGGGGTTTAGCAAGTAAAATATGTAGAACAATTTGCATGCAAAGTGAAAAACGCAAACTTCCTCTATGAAGCTTTGAACTTTGCATATGTCTCACCATTTTGTGCATATCTTGATCAATTGGAGTCCGATTGACGAGCCGCAAAGTGCATTGGAAAGCTAAGGCAACAAGGAAAAATATGGAAGGTTTAAATGTCAATTTCTATACATGAAATTTTCCCAGAAATTCAAGAACAGTTGTTGTTCGACTAGTAGAATTTAGCTTTGATCATACTTACAGGATTAAATGTTAGAGTGGTGAAACGAACTTCAAATCAAGCTTGTGATAGTACGTTAGAAAGTTTATTCTATGAGGAACACAAAGGAAGGGTTGTATGTTACATTAGATCATTCACAAGGTGCAGAAAAATCAGTTTTTGCTCGCATGTACCAGAAAAATGAAATCTTGGACGGGTACTTACGTTTTTTTGGTGTATCTTGACGATCCAAACTCCAATCTCGATTCCAAAAAGTGATGTGCATAGCTGAGAGTGTGAACTATACAAGAGAGTGAATGTATGTTAAAGATCACAATGTTTAGGGGCTAAGAAAGTTGGGACAGAATGCTTGCATGTGGGAAAACATGAACTTTTCTAGGAAAACCAACAAGTTCTTGGGAAAGTTCATCTTGGTCCGACTTTTGGCTCATAAAAAATGGTGTTTTGGTTTGCTTTCTTTCCCCTCAAAGTCCCCTCAAAGGTGGTCTTGTCTCTTCACAAATGCAGCGACAGAAATGCAGTGGAGGTGAATACTTTAGAATGGAAAGGGAAGAGAGAATGAGGGAGTGAGACTTGAGTGCTAAAATGTAAATTCGTGGGATACCTACCTAGATGCAGTTTCATATTTCTCTCTCTAAGTGTTTAAACCAGAATTTTTAAAGAGTTGCAATAAGGTAACCGAGAGCTATTTCTAATACTCTTGCTATGCAACAAGAAATTGGATGGGAGAACATGAGACAACTAGGCAATTCTGCTCCCTTTTATTAAATCCATAAGTTAGAAAGAGTTAGATTACACATGTAGTCTATTTATATTCTTTCATGCACCTTTGTAGTAGAAATTGAGATTGTGAAAGATAGAAATCGAAAAAGAGAGTGAGAGACAACTTTACGAGAGGGAGAAAGAATAAATTTTGATTTTGCCAACCTTTCAATACATAGCTGCATATATGTCACGCATGCAAGGGCTGATCTTCCTTCTTCGACACGTGGCTGACACATGTCATCACGCATGCAAGGACTTCTCCTATTTCAACACGTGGCTGACACATGTCATCACTCGTGCAAGGGCTCGTCACATTTTGTCACTTATCGCCACCTATGAATTAAAATTTTGAGAAACCTTATTGAAGTAAAATCTATCTTGGTGAGGTTTGAACCTATAGACTTCCAATTCATAACTAAGAACTAACCCTTCTACTACTATGTTGCCTCTGCTGTGCGTATAGCATTTGAAACTCAAATATAATTACAGAATTTTTAAATAATTCAAAATATTGAGATTCATTTCTTAAAACATTAAACACATACCGACAAATTATTTAAACAAAATAAAACAAATTCTTTTATATCAAAACTTCTTTAATCAAAATCATAAAATTTTATAATACACATTAAAATTATCTTTGAAAAAAGAAGAAGAGGAAATCACGTTACGTTACATCATTGAGACGACCATATATTCCCCGCAATCCCCGATAAATACTAAGTTAACAAAACTTCAACGTTATCGTTGAGCAACTGGTTTAAAATTCGAAGAATGTATTCGAGAATTTATAATACCCACAAAAAATAAAATTAAAGAATAATTCCTAATCATTTCAATGGTTAAAATAATAATTTGTGGCGCTCATGATATGATAGGATATGACTAATCCCAAGTCAAAAGCACCAACCAAGTTTGGACTTTGTCTAAAACGAAGTTCGGCTCAGGCTGCTAACTGCGCCGTGTTTGGAATAAACTTTACCATAAACGGCATACTCTCTTCAGGTACAGTGGCATACCGTAGTATCCATATTAAGATAATTTCTACAATATTTTGTAGATTAATATTTTATACGTGTATTTTAACTTTGCATTAATAAAGTGGATCAATAGTTTATTTAAAAAGATAAATATTCTTTATTTTATCTTCAAATATTAAAAAAATTTCAATTATCAATTTAAAAGGATATTCGGTATTATCTCAAATTTATAACTATGGTAACAATCACCATTAATTAAAAGTAAGACAATAAACACTACATAGTCATAAAAAAAGTTAGATTACATTGTTTAATAATGCGGATAATTGTATTAAAAATAAACTTAAACAATTAGCGAGTTATGAATTTATTAGGATTTCTCCCCCCAAACGCACCGCATGAACGCGGCACTAATTAGTCAAATTTAAACGGAACACCAAAACCAGCGTTGATTCCGCTGTGTCTGACTTAGTCTTGCCTAGCTGGCCTTCCACGTTACTATTTTCAATTTCAAAGGTTAGCTTTAATTAATATATTGTAAAATTAACTTTCGTAGGATTGAGTTAAATATATTTAGTTTTTATAAGATCATTTACATTTGATAAGTTTTTATAGAATTAGCTTAAGTTATTATATATTTTAATTTTAAAAAAAATATTTTACTAACATTCATCTAAACTCGTTATATTAAATTTTAAGGGTTGAGATAGTGGTGTAAGATCTTAGTGTGTTGATATATTTAAGTATGATCTATTTAGGAATATAGTTTATGGTTACATTTATGATCTCATCTATATACTTATTGTATTAATATTTTTATGGTTACATTTATGAAATTTTTCATAATTTTAAATTAGAATTTAAAAAACTATAAAGCACGAAAGTGATATCAATGAGACGAATAGAATTTTGGGCAAAAAAGGTGATATTAATACATTTTTATTTGCAATAATGTTAAATACCCTTGAAAGTAAATAAAATAATATTAATGTAATCTTAATATAATTTTGAGAAAAAAAATGAATGCTTTAATCGATATATTTAAACCATGTTCATAAGATGTTTTAATTTTTAAGATAACTTTATTTTGTTAACTTCATTTTAAGGATATGAAATATACTTCATTTAAACCATGTTCATAAAATGCAGCGAAATTTAAGACTTTTCATCTTTAAGACTAATTAACCCAACACTAGTTTACAATGAATTTTTATACTTGCCATACTGGAAAATGGCTATAACTTTTAAGTACGAAAATTGACTCTTAATTAATGTTTAACTAACTAACTGTTTACGCTTTCAATGAAGGGAAAAGAAAAAGAAAAAACCATTATCTGTTTGCGTCTTTGTCATGGGCACGTTCACATTAACCTGGACCCCAAATGGTATAAAGGCACTTCCCATGTCATTTCCCTTTCGCTATTGCTGATGCTGACTCAACAAAAAATCCTTTAAAATAAAATAAGGTTGGTTTTCTGTCTCTCTCTTCCTTCCCCTTTCTTATACGCTTGCCATTCTTCAAAGTCTCATTATTACTGTTAGACCCTCTGAGTCAAGTTCCTATCTTTTTTAGAGTCTTTTCTTCATTGCGCCGAAACGCCAACTTGATTCATTCTGGTGGGAGCTTCTTCCTCTTGGTTTGTGTTTGGCTCCGAAAAGGGTATGTTCTCTGCCTTCTCTGTGGTTGACTTGGGTGCTATTGCTATCATCACGGTCCTCTTTGAGGTTGCTTTGGGTGATTGATGGTGTTTATGTTTTGAGTTCTCAAGTTCTTGATTGTCCTTGCAATTATTTCTCAACAAAGAGTGAATATTTTGATTGTGTGTAAAATGGATAGCTCAAAAAACAGGCATAATGACAACCTGGGTGTGAACAAAGTGGGAAAAAACATAAGAAAAAGCCCATTACATCAGCCCAATTATGGTAACAACGCTAATAATGGTGTTGCTAGACAGCAACAACCTCAGCCTCAGGTTTACAACATAAGCAAGAATGAGTTCAGGGATATTGTTCAGCAACTAACTGGGTCTCCCTCCCAGGATCCTCAATCAAAACCCCCTCATAACAATTCTCCAAAACCTCAAAGCATGAGATTGCAGAAGATTAGGCCTCCCCCTTTACCTCATGTGCGGCCACCATTACCTGTTCCTTACAGCAACAACAACAACAACAACACCATGCCAGCAAGACCTAATCAGTTTGCACAACCACCACATAACCCTTTGCAAAAGGGTGACATGACATGGGGTAATATAGCTGAATCACCCATCTCTGCCTACATGAGATACCTTGAACATTCAATTATAGATCCAGGTTCAAGGGGAAACCAAGCTCAGCCTCATCCACCATCTTCTACTTTGCCTCCTTACCCTGTGTTTCCCTCTCCAAGATTAAATGGTCCTGTCGTGCCTTCGAATGGCACAAACATTCCTCTGGCTACTTTTCCTTCCCCTCCAATTTTACCTTCTCCAACCTCTCAGTTCCTCTTGCCTTCACCCAATTGTTACACCAATTTCCCATTGCTCTCTCCTGGCATTCAGTTTCCATCTCCTTTTACCCCCAATTTAGGCAACGGGCCACAGCCTCCGCTTTCTCCTGGCCTGTTTCCGTTATCTCCTTCAGCCTTTTTCCCCATCACAAGTCCTAGGTGGTGAGATCAATAGCCTTATCATTTCAAATCAAATGCTTTGTTGGGGATTATGCTCCCTTCTAACTCAACTGATCTTTGTTCTCACAAGAGCTCTCTTCATTGTCTTCATTTCCCATTATTCCATTGTTTTTTTCTTCTTTTATTGATGACCATAATGGCTGCAATCCTTTTACTTTTATGAGTTTTATACATTAGGCAATATATTGAAGATCAGGAGGTCAAATGGACAGGAGCAGTAAAATGGAAGAATGAGCTGTAACATGAAAGGAAGTAGGATTACAGGCAATATTTGTTATGTAGGGTAGGTCACGTTCTTTTGTAATATAATGGATTCCATGTTAAAATGCATAGTTAGTTTCATGTTATCTTTACAATGGAAGATATTTTTAAGTACTCATCTTATACTTATTACCAGGTGATATTCATTAAAAGATATCTGCTTCTTCAATATTTTTTTTTTTCTTGTGTCAAGGTAGTTTCCTATTTTGTTAAATGCTGTTTTGAAAATTTCGTTCGCTGGATTTATTTGAGATGACTCGAGAAGAGAAAATAAAACTAGGGAGAGAATATAAAATAGGTACTTCATAGGTTCATTTATGTTGATTTTCCAATTATCGTTCTTTTGTTTTGTGAAGTATTCTGAAAGCATAGATGTTACTAACATTATACAATTTGTTATCTTATCATGACCATAGCTTGTAGTCCTAGGGGATTTTTTATAAAAAAAAGGTGGATTTTAGTGGGAAGGAGAAGGGAGGGTAATTTTTTATTTAAAATAAATATATTTAAATTTATTTTTTCAAGAAATATAAAATATAAATTAATATATTAACATAAATTTAATGTATTAATAATATATTTATCATCATAAATAATATATAATTTTTTAAATTTAAAATTTAAAATTATGTTCCCTCTTTTTTTTCTTTCAAAAATTCTGAACATTCATATTTAAGTTTTCCTTAGAAGTTTAGAAGAAAAGATAAGAAAAATGTTTGAGGGAGGAAAGAAGAAGAAAAAATGGAGAAGAGTTAATAATTTATTTTTTAAATTAGTAAAACTTAAAAATATGAAATTAAGAGTTTTAGAGGATTTATAAAACCCTATTTTATTAAAAAATGTCAAATAAAAGTTATATTTAAATAAGTTTTTTCTTTTGTTTTTTCAAAAATTAATTTCCAAGCAAAGTAGGATATGTATACTTATGTGGTCACAAGCATGCTACACGGAGGGTGTCTCGGTATATATCTGACAGCTTCAGTCTTTGAAAGTCTTGCATTAAACTAAACTTTACGGATTGCATTTATTCACAAATTTATAGGATCTTCAATGTGGATGGTTTTCTTAGCCTCCACCATTAGTGAATTGGTAACATGTTTTCTGCAGCATCTTGATGGCAATTAAACATGCACCTTTCAACTTTTCACCATTCTAATTGACATCAATTTGTTATCTGGGGATATGAAAAGATTCAGCTATTTCTCTAATCAAAGCTACTTTTGTTTTTTACTTTGCGTTAACCAGCATTAATTTTGTCAGTACAGTATTTAATCTACGAAGCAGAGAAAACAAAGTTCAATATTTATTCTGATTCTCGTATACATGCACTAGAGTTTAGAGCCCCTCTCTTAAAGATACATGCTTAACTAGTAAATTTGAGACTATTTAAACAAATAAATTATAAAGTATGTTAAATACTTTATTATCTATTTCATAATAGATGATGATTTAACTTTATCTATCTTTTATTTTTTTTATATAATTAGATTAATTGATTGAATTCATACCTAGTTAAATAATAAATATATTGAATTATCACCTTTGTAATTAGCCTGCTATTTACTAATGTCTAAAATGAGTTTCCTTTTTCTTGGCTAATAGTTAGGTGAGGAATATAGAAAAATCATGGACATGGAGTTGCAGAAAGTAAATAAATTTGTGGAAATTGTTATGATATATAGAATAATTACGTACAGTTCCTTAAATTTTTATACTATTTTTAATTAATATTTTATTTTTCTTTAATAATTTACAATAATATTAAATAATTATCTTTTATTCAAATATATAATTTTGATTGAAAAGTAAAAACTAATTCAAAAAGTTTATCGTTTAATTAAGGTCATTTTTGTAAAGAAAAATCCATACAACAAAAAATTTGAAGAGAGTTTTATGAAGGGACCAAAGTAATTTTTTTTAAAATCTATAAAAAAAGAAAAATGGCGCATTAGACATTATTACTTAAATACAAATTTATTTTAATATCATAAGCTATAGTTTTCGCAATAAAACACAATTTTACAAGATTTTATTAGATATCCAAACATCACAAAACGTAGTACATTAGTCCGAGAGAGTAACACAAAACCATTGTCTTTCGTTAAATTATGGAACGCATTCCATTGAATTCTTTGATTGAATAATAAACTTCAGAAGACCTTTCGGAATTATTAACTAGAAGCAAGATCCTTCCCGAACATGTCTTAGAATGTGTGTTTTTAACTTTCAAAAGTATGAAAACTACGTCGTTTTTTACGAGTAAATATTATTTTTATGCCTGAAATTATATACGATGATTAATTTAGTTTTTAAGAATTTTAATTTATTTCGTAATTTTAGTTAACGTTAATCATAGGTTAGAAAGCACTAACAGAATAATGAGTTCGCAGGTGAGGTTACACATAGAACTTCAGATAAGACTAAAATTTCATCCTTCATTTTACACCTAACAAGTTTAGTGTTTTATTGTTTAATAAATATATATAAATTAACAATTAAAAAATATAATTTTGTAAATGATAATATATATATATATATAAAATAAAATTATTTCGGATAATATTTACAAAATATTTTAATTTAACTATATAATTATGAATATTATGTATCAAAATAATAAAAAAATTAATGAATTTAAATATTTTTAAAATATAATTTATTTTAAAATAATACTTTTATTGTATAGTGTTAGAACTCTTTTTTAATCAATCGTTAATAATCAATATACATTAACAATCATAAATTTATGAAACAAGAATTTTAAAAGTAATTTCACATAAAAAAAATAGGAAAAAATTAAGATATTTTATAAATGTAAAAATGAGTATTCATGAAATTTTCATTCGGTAGTAAATAAGGGTTAATTAGGGTTACAATGAAGTTTATTTTTTGTGCAAAATTAAGACTTTGATGACCCCTAAACCTCTTAAGCCATCAGATTCAGGAAAAATGATGTCATATATTTTATATTCACATTCATAGTCTTATTTTGATTCCTAAATACTTTTCATATGCTTTATTTTTAGAGTTTTTACTATTTTTAAGTAATTGAAATAAATTGAGCTTATTATACATAAATGTTTTAATTTTGATTTTCGACTATTCTAACCTCTTATTACTCATTTGGCCATAATTTTTCTACATATATCGTTTTTGGCTTATTCTAGTTGCATTAGATTCTACACATCTAGGAATTCAAAATTCATATATGAATTGCTGGATTTGGAGTTGTTTTCAACTTTTTATAATTTTTTGAAGTTGAGGTAGATATGCTAAATTTATTAAATTTTTATATTTGGGATTTTAGATACAATTGAGGCTTGAATTTCAGCCATTTAGTTTACCTTAATCAGAACCTATAAATAGATTAATGAGGCTCTAAATTAGATGTGCAATCTTATATTTTGAATTTTCATATTTGTCTCCTTATCAAAATCTTTATTTTCCCCTTTCTTGATTTCTCTCATCTTCTTTTCATTCACGCTTGGGTTAGTGCCTTAATAGAAAGCTAAACCTCCATTTCAATCTGCAGAGTCTAGATGATGTAAATCCAATTTGAGTTTTGGACTAATTGCTCCAAGTTTATTCTCCTCGTCTTTAATCTTAGATTTGTGATTCATGATTATGATTAACTTTTATGTGGGTTAGAATTCAAATTAGGATTCGGTTGATATTCTGATTTGATAATTAAATTTAAGTTAGATTAAATAATAATTTAATTTAATTCATAATTTAGTTCAATTAGGTCATTCGATTGAATTAATAACTAGATTGGGTAATTGTTCAAATTTGGATTAAAACCTTGAGATATAGTGATAATTGGAATTACATGCATTTGCGAACCTTTGGATTAATAATTCATAATATTTTTTGTCAATTAATTATGTATTGATTTTAATTTAATTAATTTGAAATTCACAAACTCCCAAACTGTTACTCGTGTTACTAAAGAACCTAAAATTGAATTTAACTGAATGTACCTATGAATCAACATTAGTTGAGCTCTATACTGCAAAATTCTTAGACAAACTTAGTTGTTTTGTTTTGATAGTGACTTGGCAATCGTTTATCAAATTAACGCCGTTATCAAGGACACGTTGTCAAATTTGATTCATTGTAGGAGTCATTAATTGTGTTTTAAGTGTTTGTCAATTCTGCATAATTGTTTCTCTCGATTGTTGTGTTTTGTGCAGTTTTGCATTGCGTGTGATCTTGCATTTGTTGTCATTATGCAATTATGTTTAGGTATATTTCAAAAAGAAAAATATATTTGAATGAATTGTTCATCATCTGAAAAGAAAAATATAATAAATAAATAAATAATAAATTGGATTAATAGGATTGCTGTAAAATTGTGTTTTGTAGAGATTTGAGAAGCAGAATCAAGTTTCATAAGATTTGAAGCCGCAAATTTAAGGAGCACTATTCCTGGGTGTACAAGAGAGTTTCTACACCATACTACTCATAAACTAATAGGCAAGCGAAAATCTTCAATTGGGAAATCAAGCAAATTTTAGAGAAGACTGTCCAACCCAAGAAGAAGGATTAGAGCTTATGCTTGGAGGAAGCTCTTTGGGCTTACAAGACTGCCTATAAGACATCTATAGGAATGTCTCCTTATCGGGTTGTCTTTGGCAAGGCATGTCATCTATTAGTGGAGGTGAAGTATAAGGCATTATGGGCGATCAAGCGATGTAATCTAGATATGGAGGTAGTTGGTTCACAAAGGAAGTTTCAATAATAAGAGTTGGAGGATATTTGTAGGGAAGCATATGAGAACTTCAACATCTACAAGAAGCGTACCAAGGGTTTTCATGATAAGATGATAGGCGTAAAGAGTTACATATTGGTCAAAAACTCCTATTATATAATTCTAGACTTAAGTTAATGTCTGGTAAATTGAGATATAGATGGGCATCAGCTTAAGGTTTTTCATGAGGACTTGCAAGAACATGCATAGGAGGAGGCCACTTTTGCATTGGCCACTTACCCCGATTGATATGGGAGTTTTTCTTACCTCTCTCTCTCATTTACTAGATTGTCCTTTTACTTATTGTGTTTTTATTGAGGATAATATTAATTTCAAGTGTGCAGGGGAGTATCATGTTTTTGTTGTACATAGCCCAATTAAGTGATTATTTCATGGGTTTGATGGATTGA